GGTTCAATATAATCTTTTTTCTTTATATGTTTTCAATAAAAATGAAACTTTGACCCCTCCCCCCCTTTCAACAGACATGACTCTATTGGCCTTTCTGGGACTTTTAGGCCTTCCTAGAGTTTTCATATTTCATTGCTTTTATATTTCATTTCATAGTTTCATATACCAATAGCCAAGAGGTTTTTCAAAAGAAACCCAGAGAAAAGATAATATTTTCAGTCAATGATGTTAGAACAACTGGAAAAGATGAGCCTCTTTATTTTTTTTCATACTTGTTCAAACTTAAATTAAAGTGGATCATAGACTCAAACAAAACAAATCAATCTAAAATCCACCAGAAGAAAATGTAGGAGAGGATTCTTGTAGTCTTGGGTAGGCAAAGATATACATACAGAAAGCTTAAACAATAAAAATTCAATAAAATTGACTTCATTCAAATTAGGAGTGTCATGTGTTTCGATTACTCCACCAGGAAATGTAGACAAGGTTTCTGGGAGACTAGACTTGGGTTTTTTTTTTTTTTTTTTTTTTTTTGGTCTGAGAATGATAGATCGTCTTGCTGTAGCCCCAGATCACTGTTCATCCCCCAGCAATGTAGTGTGATTTTGTTGAGCCTCTAATGTCTCTGCACTAGAACAGCAACCACTTTGAAGAAACTGTGGCCTATGCCCCCGCTGGCTGGCATGACCAGTTCCTCGGAACTCATGAACAGCAGTGCCAGCAACAATAATGGCAAGAGGAAGATGTGGGGCTGATACTAACTAGTACCTGCCTCATCCAGTACCCAAAATGGAGACATATCCCGCATAGCCAGGACAGGCCAGCTCACGGGCAGTTCTCACTGTAACAGCTCCTCTCCCAGGAGGATGGACAGGCCATGCATGATGTTGAGGTTCACACCAGCAAGGCCCTTGGCTCTCAGTCAGAAGTTACAGAGAGAAACAAGTTGAGGTATAGAGAAATGTAGACTGGGCCATCCAAGGGTCCCAGCAGGCCTGAAAATGTTCCGCTCAAAAAGCTCATCTGTGGTTCAGATGCTCTGTCTCCATAAGCATGAAGAAAACAGGAGCTGCGGAGAGGGCCGTCCTCTCTGCAGGACCTCTGCAAGGGCTCCTCCTACCTCTTCCCTTTGCTTTGGCATGTGGTTCCTGTGTTAGAAAAAGACTAAGTAAGCCTTCTGCCAACGGCTCCTGAGGGAAGGAAAAGCCCTTAGCAGTGTGTGTGGCCTGTGGGTGTTGTTACAGTTGTGAGTGTTGACGCTGAGATGCTCCAGCCTTGTCTGTCTGTTTCCAGCAACTTCCAAAGTCTGTGTTTTCGTCAAATGCCACTGAGACATTTAATTAACCCCATTCCCCTTTGGCCCATGAGTCACTTTAGAATTTTCTAGCAGTGTTTCCTCCCTCATATCATTTGTCAACATTTCCTCTTAGAACTTCCAGAATTATACCTGTGTCGTTCAGACTCTGGCTGTTCAGCTGCCATCTTGCTCTAAGACAATGTCAGATTAGCAAATGGCATCATGAAAGCTTTGCCGTTTGGTTTTTGTTTTACAAGGCAAAGAAGGATTTCTTTAGTTTGATTTTATAGTTATTGAAAGGTAAACAGAAACAATAAAAATGTAAGGCACAAGAAATATATTCTGGGAAATAAAAATAAATTAAAAAAAGAAATACACCATTAAAATACAAGGAAAAGAGTCTGGAGTAGCATGTGCTTATTATGTATCTTAGAAAATGCTTGAAGCTAGGTGCTGTAGTTAATTTTGAGTGTGAAATTGGTGGGTTTTAGAATCCCTGTTGGAGGGGCTGTAGAGATGGCTCAGTGGTTAAGAGCACTGACTGCTCTTCCAGAGGTCCTGGGTTTGATTCCAGGTACCCACATGCGGCTGATCCGATGTCCATTTGGCCCCCGTTGGCACCAGGCACACATGTGGTACATAGACATACACACAGGCAAAGCACCCATACACATAAAATAGTAGACTAGAATGGAGTCACTATGGAAACAGCCCGCTGTTTCTGAGAGGGTCTGGGTTAGGCTAATTGAGCTGGGAAGACCCTCTTAACTGTGCACAATGTCATTCTAGCCCGACTGAGTATGAAGGAGAAAGGGGACTGAGAGCTGGTGTTCATAACTCTGTTTCCCTACTGAGCACACAGCATGACCGACCACCCAAATTCCTGCTACTGTCGCTGCTCCCCCTCAGGGACAATACCCGTGAACTGGAGGCCAGAACTTCTTCCTTAAGTTGCCCCTTTTCAATTATTTTGCCACAGCAACGGATAAAGTAATGAGCACATTGGAATATATTCAGAACTCTTAAGCAATAAGACAACTAATACAATAAAAATGGCACTTTTAAAAGATATTTTGTAAAGGAGAGATGATTCCCTAAGGAGCACACAATAAGAAAATATATCTCATTGGTCATTCAGAGCCCATGGGTTAAAGCTGTAGTGAGGTACTGGTGCATAAGTGTGAGGAAGCCTAAAATGAGTTTAATTGAGCATGCCACATCTTGGTATTTTAAATTTTTATTTATTTATTTTATTTTTTTATTTTTTTTTGGTTTTTCGAGACAGGGTTTCTGTGTGGTTTTGGAGCCTGTCCTGGAACTAGCTCTTGTAGACCAGGCTGGTCTCAAACTCACAGAGATCCGCCTGCCTCTGCCTCCCGAGTGCTGGGATTAAAGGTGTGCGCCACCACCGCCCGGCCGTATTTAAAATTTTTAATCTACATTTCTGTATGTGTGTGGGTATGCATGTGTGTGTATGTACATGTCATGATATGGTTGCAGAAGTCAGAAGACAACTTGTGAGAGTCAGTTTCACTTTCTACTCTGTAGGTCCCACAGTTCAAACTCAGGTCATCAGGCTTGGTGGCAGTGCCTTCCTTCACCTGCTGAGCCATCCTGCTGGCCTAGAGCTGCTCCTCTTTTTCTTCCTCCTCCTCCTCCTCCTCCTCCTCCTCCTCCTCCTCCTCCTCCTCCTCCTCCTCCTCCTCCTCCTCCTCCTCTTCCTCCCTAAAACATCAGAACTATTTTTGTACAGCTTTCTGGTGTTCTTGTCATCTGTTGCCACTTGACGATGTAGTAGGGTCCCAGAGCCTTCTCGTCGTGTCTGCCTCTCAGCGCACACTGGTCAGTGCTACCCCTTCACCTCATATCCTCTCAGTTCTGTGTGATCAACTCTTTAGATTCCATATGTAATTGAGGTCATGAGACACTTGACTTTTTATTCCTAGCTTATGTTATGTAATACAATAATCTCATTTAAGAACTGGGAAGCTGAAGCGGGAGGAATGCTGTAGGTTTGAGGTCAGCCTGTCTTTTTTTTCTAGAAGTTTCATAATGTCCAGTCTTACACTGAAGTTTTTATACATTTTGGGGTGTATTTTGTGAGACTGTTAAGGACTAGGGATCTAGTTTTACTCGTCTGTATGGGGGTAGTCTTCAGCATCGTTGGGATGGCTGCCCTGTGTGTGTCCTTAGCACCTCCATTGAAAGTCAGTTGGTTGTAAGGGTGTGGGTTTATTCTGTTCCTTTTGTTTATACTGTTTGGCTTTGTGTGTGTCTCTGTGTAACTGGTATCAGCAGGGGCCTGGAGAGGGGGATTGGATCTCCTGAGGCTGGAGTTGTGAGTGGCCTGACGTGAGTGCTGAGATTTGCACAAGTGTCCTCTTGAAGAGCCATATGTGCTCCTAGCCACCCCTCCACCCCTCGTGTCATATTTGGAAGTCAGGTGGTGTAATTTTTGCAGCTGTGTGCAGTCAAACACAGCTGTGCTGAATAGCGAGCAGAGAGCGTGGGCATGCTTTTCTCAGTCCAGGTCTTAGAGAAAACATTCAGCTTTCCCCCATCAGTGTGATGGAAATCATGTTTTCCCCGGTCTCTCTGTCTCTGTTTTTCTCTCAAACAAAAGTACCTTTTTACCTCTCCCTTCCTTCCTCTGTGTGTTTGTGTAAGAGAATGTGCACGTGTGTTGGGACACGTGTGGCATCTTTTGGGCATCGGTTGTTCCCCTCTCCCTCATTTCTGAGCACTCTGTCTGCCTGTCCATGCTTTCTCCTCTGGGCCAACCAGCCTGTGATCTGGGCAGTCTCTTCTCTGCCTTCCACCTTGCTGTAGGCTTGTTTACAGAAGTACAACAGCATTGGGCTTTTTACAATGATTCTGGGGTCACATTCAGGCCATCAGGTTTGTCTGGCCAGCATTTTTATCTGCTGAAGTACTTCTCTGGTCCCAGCTATTTATTACTGTAAATGGTTTTTATTGTGTTTAGTTATGGTCCTTTGTGTTTTTAGTTGTTTTTCTTTTTGAAGATGAATTTTTAAAAATTTAAACAAATTTATTTATTTTTATTTTGTGTGCATTGGTGTTTTCTCCTGCTTATATGTCTTGCATGAGGGTGTCAGATCCCCTGGATGGGGAACCACAGACAGTTGTGAGCTGCCATGTGGGTCTTGGAAATTGAACCCGGGTCCTCCGTAACAGCAGCCAGTGCTCCCAACCTCTGACCTATCTCCCCAGTCCCTTGTTATGGTCCTTAATTTGTTCAGGATTTTTATCTTGGAGGGATGTTGAGTTTATTAAATGCTTTTTCTGAAGCTGTCAAGATGACCATGATTGTCCTTCTGTTAATATGACATTTTATGTATTGTATTCTCAATCACTGTAGGTTTTAGAGTTGGGCTTTGGTGCTAGCAGGGCCTGTTTCTAGTTTAGTGGGAAAGAGAGCTATGAACTTGTTTTCTCTGTCTATGTGGTTGTTGCTGGGAGGGAAAATGGTTGTGTTTGTCTCCCTCTCGTGCCTGCTGAATGGCTTCACGGTTTGCATTTTCTGTGCTGACTTGTGAGTCACAGTGCATGTGTGTTGCGCACCTTACCAGGTGTAGCTGAATATGTGAGAACATTTTGTATAATTTTAACTGTAAGAATGTGAGGAAGGAGGCCCAGTCAAGTGGGTTGGGTACTAAAAGGCGAAACTTCTTCTTTGAATCAGGTTTGCTGCAGAAAGAGAAGATGGCAATCGAAGCTTTTCAGATTTGTTGTCTCCTTCTGCCTCCTGAAAACAGGAGAAAGCTGCAGCTGCTGATGAGGATGATGGCAAGGATCTGCTCAAACAAAGAGATGCCGCCACTGTGTGATGGCTTTGGCACCCGCACGCTGGTAGGTGGACTGTGACCCCTGTTTTCAGTCTGAAAGACAACCGAGTCCCTGTTCTGAGCAGTCAGTTGAGAGCGGGAGGGAGGCTTGCTTGAAAGCGCAGCCCTCTGTCCACCCAGACTTCCTTTGCTTTCAGCCTAAGGACCTTGGAGAACATGGTGCAAAGTGAAGTGGGGGGGGGGGAGTAGGGAACAGGCACTCCCTCCAGAGACAGCTGCTGTGTCCTTGCTTACATTGTATAAATTGTTACCTGCCATCAACACGAAGACAACGAAAGTGGGCAGGCAGCGTAGGAGACCCATTCTCTTGTTCCAGCACAGGGGACTTGAGGAGTCCTTGTTATTGTAACAGGCAAGAGAGACAGCACTGGCAAAGGTAGAAGCAGCTGAAGTAGTGGATTCAAGCAGGCAGGCTCAGAGTACCTAGCTGTGCTAGACAGTATGGGAGGAGAGGGAGATTTTTTTTTTTTGAATTAGCAGTTTCATGCATTTATGGATTCATGTGCTCTTCTGATATATAGACTCACTGTAGAAATATTTAATTAAAACTAATTAGTATGTCCATCACTTTATTTATTCATTTATTTGTTTACCACTTTTCCAGCAGTGTTGACACATTCCATGTCTTGTTATTGTAGCTATGGCTAGGGTGCCATGGATAGATTCCCAGAACTTCCTCCTAACTGGAACTTCACATGCTTTAGCTGGCATCTGCTCTCCATGCTTCTTCCTGCCACTGCCTTCTCTCCGTTTTCCTCAAGACGAGTCTTGTAGGGAGGTTGTTACTTTAATACCGTGGGTGTCCTTCTCATGCTCTTGAAGCCACCACTCACTTCCTGGGGATTGCCCAGTGCATCTCTAGAGGAACATGCACTGCCCACTGGGGTAACTCTTGATCCCTTCTTGGGTAAAAGGAACCTTTTTGAAAAGTCAAAGAAAAGAAAACTTGTACCTCTTTCCTTTAACAGCTCTCTCTCTCTCTCTCTCTCTCTCTTTTATATAAATAAAATTTTAAACATGATTTCAAAGCATTCTTAAATCTATTGAAATTTATTGTTTCAAAGCAGAAATTTCTGCCTCCTTATATATGCAAATATGAAGATAAGATGACACAGTGCGGATGAAAGCTAGTCTTAATAAACAGCAGCACGTGGCTTTGTGTTTGTAGGTTTTGACGTGAGATGGTTGCAGTAAAATTAGAGGGAAAGGGAAAGAGGTTACTCCAGAGCGTAGAATGGAAGGAAGTGATGATATGAATTCCATGGACTCTGTATTGTTCATATTAGTTATATGTTTGTATTTCTGGTTACCATAAAAGGAGTCTTGTCACTTGATACACAAAGATAATTCTCAAGTGTGTGTCTCAAATTGCAGAGAAACTAAGTTAGCCAGGAAAAGATGACAGTTGGGGAACACAAAGTAAATACAATCAGTGGAACTGGGGTATTGCTTGGTCAAATGGCTATGAGTACTTTGAACTTTAAAGTGATAAATTCATGTAATTTTCAGAATATATGTGCATAGGTATATGTATGTATGCATACAAATATATGTGCATATAAACCTTGTATAAAACAGAGTTTCAACAATTCCTTTGACAAGCTTCTCCCTGCTAAGTCTCTTAAGCAGAGATTGCTATTTGAGTTGGGCACGTGTGACTGGGTGCCTGGTGGGATGTGCACCTTGCCCCTTGTTCCTTCTCCCCAACTCTTCACATTTGTCTTTTGCAGACTAGCTGGCACTCAGTTTAGAGGTGGCAACAAGGCCACACATTTCTGCTGATTTCACCCTTTCCTGCTTTTTGTTTTAGATGGTTCAGACATTTTCTCGGTGCATCTTGTGTTCTAAGGACGAAGTAGACTTAGATGAGTTGCTAGCTGCTCGATTGGTGACATTTCTGATGGACAATTACCAGGAGATTCTGAAAGTTCCTTTGGCCCTGCAGACCTCCATAGAGGAGCGTGTGGCTCATCTGCGAAGAGTTCAGGTAAAGACGAGACATTGTCATTCCTATAAGACTTGGCTGGAAGCCAAGTAGGTCTGCCAGTCTCCTCCTGACATCTGTCCTAAGGATCAAGTGAGTTGATGGGAGCAAAGTGCTTACACTAGGTCTTGGCATGTACTGAACACTGCAGGAGTCTGCTGTTACCATGGGTAACCGTGGGATGTGTGTTTGGTTCATTGTATCAATCACTGCTATATGGGCCAGCCTAATACATTGAACAAGCTTGGAAATACAGATTACACATATAGAAAATTAGCAGAGTTACACTAAAATGTCTGTAATATATATTTTCTTGTCTTTTTCTATTTCTCCCTTCCTCCTTTCTCCATTCTTTCCTTCATCTCACTTATTTTTAGTAACTTAATTTTTCTTACTTAGTAATACAATGGAACATTAATTATCTCCTATCTTCAAATATTCCTGATTGACACTAGACCAAGAGCACACTCTGAGGTAGATAGTGTTTGAATTAATGGTGTGTCCTTTTCTTTGCTGTGCCTTCTTAGTAGGCAAATGAAATAATATTACTGTGCTTTATCCCTTTTTTCCTTTTCTGTAAAATTGGAATGATAGTTAATATTTTGTTTGGTTAGTATATATAGAAAGTGCTTACAGTAATGTTCTAATGTCTATCACATAGCAAATTGCTGTTGAGGCCATTGTTGTTATTGGTATGTGATTGCTATTGTTATTTATAATAACAATGTAGTGATGTTATTAGTATGTGGTATCAATAATATCCTTATTGATACCATCCATATTCCATCATAGGAATGTATACATAATTGACTGTGGTGTGTAACATGAGGGCCGGGCTTGTTGGGGTTTCTGTCCTGCCTGGTCTTCCAGCCGTTTAGTCCCAGAGAAAAATCACACAGAGAGTCTACATTAGATATAAACTGATTGGCCCATTAGCTCAGGCTTCTTGCTAACTCTTATCACTTATATTAACCCATTATTCTTATCTATGTTGGCCACATGGCTCAGTACCTTTCTCAGCGGGGTTGATCACATCTTGCTTCTTTGGTGGTACTCCTGATCTCATTGCCCCGCCTCTATTTCCTATCTGGTTGCCCTGCCTATACTTTCTGCCTGGCCAAACAGTGTTTATTTAAAACATGATTGACATGGTATCTTAAAGTTGTCTTGATTTGCATTTCCCTGATCGCTAAGGAAGTTGAGCATGACCTTAGGTGTCTTTTGGCCATTTGAACTTCTTCTGTTGAGAGATCTCTGTTCAGCTCAGTGCCCCATTTTATAATTGGGTTGATTAGCCTTTTACGGTCTAGTTTCTTGAGTTCTTTATATACTTTGGAGATCAGACCTTTGTCAGTTGTGGGGTTGGTGAAGATCTTCTCCCAGTCAGTCAGAATGGCGAAAATCAAAAACACCAATGATAGCCTTTGCTGGAGAGGTTGTGAAGAAAGGGGTACACTCATCCATTGCTGGTGGGAATGCAAACTTGTGCAACCACTCTGGAAAGCAGTGTGGAGGTTTCTCAGGAAATTTGGGATCAACCTACCCATGGACCCAGCAATACCACTCTTGGGAATATACCCAAGAGAGGCCTTATCACACAACAAAAGTATATGCTCTACTATGTTTATAGCAGCATTGTTTGTAATAGCCAGAACCTGGAAACAACCTAGATGCCCTTCAATTGAAGAATGGATGAAGAAAGTATGGAATATATACATATTAGAGTACTACTCAGCAGTAAAAAACAAGGACTTCTTGAAGTTTGCAGGCAAATGGATGGAAATAGAAAACACCATCCTGAGTGAGGTAAGCCAGACCCAAAAAGAGGAACATGGGATGTTCTCACTCATATTTGGTTTCTAGCCATAAATAAAGGACATTGAACCTATAATTTGGGTTCTTAGAGAAGCTAAATAAGAAGGAGAACCCAAAGAAAATCATATAGGCATCCTCCTGAATATTAAACTTCATCAGGCGATGAAAGGAGACAGAGACAGAGACCCACATTGGAGCACCGGACTGAAATCTCAAGGTCCAAATCAGGAGCACAAGGAGAGAGAGCACAAGCAAGGAACTCAGGACCGCGAGGGGTGCACCCATACACTGAGACAATGGGGATGTTCTATAGGGAACTCACCAAGGCCAGCTGGCCTGGGTCTGAAAAAGCCTGGGTCAAAACCGGTCTCGCTGAGCATAGCGGACAAGGAGGACTACTGAGACCTCAAGAACAATGGCAACGGGTTTTTGATTCTACTGGACCTATTGGTTTCGTGGGAGCCTAGGCAGTTTCGTGGATGCTCACCTTACTAGACCTGGATGGAGGTGGGTGGTCCTTGGACTTCCCACAGGGCAGAGAACCCTGATTGCTTTTTGGGCTGACGAGGGAGGGGGACTTGATTGGGGGAGGGGGAGGGAAAGGGGAGGCGGCGGTGGGGAAGAGACAGAAATCTTTAATAAATAAATAAATAAATTAAAAAAAAACATGATTGACAGAATACAGACAATTCTCATGCACCAGTGGTGTTTTGGTTTTTAATTTTTAAAAATTTTTAGTGGTATTTTACTTTATGTTTTTAAGACAGGGCCTCATACTGAAGACCAACATGCCCTGGAACTCATTATGTAGTTCAGGCTGGCCTTGAATTTGGAGACAATCTTCCTGCCTCAGCTCTCTGAGTTTTGGGATTATAGACATGAACTACCATGTCCAGCTATGGTTGATATTTAGATTGTCTCTTTATCCCTCTGTTTTGCAAGTAATGTATTAGCAAATATTTTTATACCTAGATTTTGGGGGGAGGGAACTGATCTACAATTATTTTCTAATAGTAAATTCCTAAGTGCATCATTGCTGGGTCAAAGACCTTAAATATATTTTAAGTATTGACAGCATATTGCCAAATTTCCTTTTATTTTGATTGTTTCAATTTAATTTATGTCAGTGGTATAAGAAAATAAGTGTTCATTTCCCCTTTGCCTCTGCTTTGAACATAATCTCCATGTATATGTGTGTGTGATGCATATATGTGTGTGTATGTATATTATATATGTATACACACACACATACACACACGCCCTTGCCATTTGCACTGGTAAAACACATAATCTTACTAGTATTTTAACATTTTTTTCAATCCTAATATTTTTATGACTTCTATTTTGAAGAGTAATGACGAAAAGCTTCCTCCAGTCTTCACAAAGGAGGGTTAGAGCAGCCATTGTCGATCCAGGTACTTGCTGGGTTTGTGTGCTCACATACAGGGCAGGTAGATCACAGTAGCTTAGCTGGTGAGCCCTGTGGTTTGAGGATCAAGGGTGGGCTATGCTGATAATCTGCCCGCAGATGAGCTTGGGCTTGTAAAAATGGAATTGCGCTATGGCTGAATAAAGTCAGTGATGGCTGTACTTGGGTCCTGGAGATCTAGCTGAGCTCTCCAGGCTTTTCTAGAAAGTGCTCCACCACCCACTCACTGGCCCCTGATTTCTGTTTAAATTTCAGATCTTATTGAAGGGCACATATAGGAGGTCTTTGTTGTTTATTGGGTTTTGTTTGTTTTAGAATGAGTCTCAAATTCAGAAAAATAAAACAATTTAGTATTTTAAATTTAAGACCGTGGCTTTAAATGTTATTCTTTTGAAAGCATGAAAACACTCTCCTTTTCAGTATGTCCGCGTCCGCCCCCCGCCCCAGCAAACTGAAGAAAATATCTCACTCCTACCAGGAGACAAGCTGGTTTTAATTTAATCTGATTCTTTGCTTTGCCTCAGATAAAATACCCAGGAGCTGATATGGATATCACGTTGTCTGCGCCTTCTTTTTGCCGTCAAATCAGTCCAGAGGAATTTGAATACCAAAGGGCATATGGCTCTCAGGAGCCTCTGGCTGCCTTGTTGGAAGAAGTCATAGCAGATGCCAAACTCTCCAACAAGGAGAAGAAGAAGAAGCTGAAGCAGGTGATTAGGATGCTCTTGAGGAGGTTTCTCCCTCTCTGTTCTCGCTGCTTCTTCCTTTTATTCTCTCCTTTGATGAGCTTTATGTAAATCTTATCTAGACGTGTGAGTTTTTCATTAGGTTCTGTGTTGTAGAAATTTGGTTGACTGGTACACTGCAGTCATTTCCCCAGTTCTATCATGTTTGACATCATTGAGTACTTCTCTCGTAGAGTTAAATTCTAGCAGTTGCCATTCGCTTTGCTACCTGACATGATAGGAACCAGCCAATACTTCATGGAAACTAACTATAAGGAAAATATTTAGTGTGCATGCGTGTGTGTGTGTGTGTGTGTGTGTGCATACATGTGTATGTGTGCAGGTACCTATACCACAGCATGCATGTAGAAGTCAAGACACCTGTTAGGAGTTAGTTGTCTGGTGCACCTTGGTGTTCAGCCTCTGCAAAGGTGCTTCTACCCACTGAGCCACCTTTGTAGGAACTGTTATTTTTAGATAGGCATTATCAGCGTGGTTTCCTGTCTCAGACCCCACTAAGTGTTCCAGTCAGCCAAACTGAGTTCCTCATGAGTGGGGCAGCACAGCCGAGGTTCTTAGAGAACAGTCTTCATTCAGAAAAGGCACACCGCCTCACGGCACCGCCTCATGTCACCACATCACTTAGGTTTTGCTGCTGTGGAGGAAAGACAGATAGAAGCAACCTAAGGGGTGGGGAAGTTTTCATGGGCTCCCAGTACCAGAGGGTACATTCATTGTGCAGGTAAGGGATGATGGAACAGTTTAGGATGCGGTGTCAGGAGCATGCCTAAAGACTTTTCATGCCACCATGGGCCAGAGAGCATCTGTGGAAAAGGGTAGGGTAATATACCCACAGGGACCTGCTTCCAGTGGTTCACTTCCTTCAGCCAGGCTCTGCCTCAGTTTTCAAGACCTCCCCAAGCCATGCCCCCTGTTGGGAACCACACATTCGAAACACGGCACCAGGAGGACATTGGCCATCCCAACCTAACGTGAACTTTGACCATCCTCAAAGCCTGGTCTTCACTCGGGTGGATGGTATTTAGTTCTTGATTTGTTTTTTTTATTTTTTTCAGACAGAGTCCTGCTCTGTCACCCAGGCCAGCCTCTACCTGGTCATCTTCTTCTCCCTACCTGTGGAGTGCTGGAATTGGAAGTGGGGCCTCGCCACTCTTGATTTTTGTTCTTCACTGCACAGCTGAGTTCCTGGACACAGCATACATAGGATTATTCCCTGGACATCAGGGATCTGGGCCTTTCTCGTGTTTCTTCTGCTAATGTTGGAGTGGCAAATATCGGAGGAAGAATACATGCCCTTCCTTTAAATATTCCTTGGATAACACCTCTGGCATTCCTCTCTTCTCTGTGTTGGGTAGAAGCTGGCCAGGCTAAGCTGGAGAAGCAGAGAGATTTTGTGTAAACACAGGGCACTTCCCATTCAGACTTACTGTTTTTCACAGTGAGGTCTGGGTGGAGTGGAGAGCATTTTGAGGGATTTGATTACAGGGACAGTTTCATCTGCAGACTGGATCAAGGTGAAGTGGAGCTGTGGGCACCAGCATCAAATATTTAACAAGAGTAAAGGAGAGCGGGGATCAGGAAGTCTCGCAATTGGACTGTCCAATTCCTGTGGCTCTTCTGTGCCTTTTTTTTTTTTTTGACTCATATTGGACTCCTGTTCAGTTTCAGAAATCATACCCTGAAGTCTACCAGGAGCGATTTCCTACACCAGAGAGCGAAGCGCTTCTCTTCCCTGAAAAGCCCAAGCCCAAACCGCAGCTGTTTATGTGGGCGCTGAGGAAGCCTTTCCAGCCGTTTCAGAGGACGAGAAGTTTCCGGATGTGATGCGGCGACGGAGCTTTAGAGACCCCAGCGCTCGAGACAGTTTTCAGTCAGTCGAGGCTCAAGAATGCTAAGTTATAAACTACTGACATAGGGGGTTTCAGAGAAGCCGGACCTGACCCTTACCATATTGAGCCGTTGTCAGTATTTTTATAAATCTCAATGCTGTCTTTAGAAATGTACAAATCAGTGAACGATTTCAAGCCAAGTGTATAGTGGTGATGCAACAGGCTTGGGATTGTTGCAGAGTCTAAAGGTAAAGTGTTCCCCCTCTTCTATTGTTGTTTTCTATAGTGTGTAAAGTTCTTGTGTGTGCTTTCTCCTCCCTGACACGTCTGTGAAAAACCAAGCCTAAGAATAATGTACATACTTGAATGAAAACCACACTGGGTGCTGTTACTGTGGTACATTGACTTCATTGCCAGTTGTGATCTCTGTGTACATCCCATTTTGTTGTTGTTGTTGTGCAAAAGTCCCTACTGTCTTGCATTGTGTTGGCTGTGCCTTTCCTTGCAGGTTTGCCAGTTGCTGTGAAATCTCCTAACGCTGGCTCTTTGATCTCCCATAAACCAGTCTGCAGATGTGTGGAGCAGATGTGTGGATGTGGAGTAGATTTGCATCTGTCCACAGTCGTGTGTTGTGAGTCTTAGCTAAAGACCGAAGGTTGAGCTGGATGAATTCTTAGACCTGTAAATCTAAATTAAATCTTTGTTTGGTTTCATAAAAAAGTATAAATAGGTTTGGTAAGATGAAATTACTTCCTTTATGAATGTATTTTCTCAGCTTCTTCATTCTTTTGAAAGTAAATGCAATGTAAATAAATACTGAAGTTTTGTAATACTGTGCCTAGTGTTTTTCTTTTTCTTTTTTAATATTATGTCTAGTGTTTTTCTTTTTCTTTTTAGATAAGTTAGGGAGCCTCCTCAAATGCCTTTGTTAGTATTTTCACATCACTTGGTATATCAGAAGTAAGCTGATACTCTGAATTGCTGTCTTTGAAAGACTCAGAGTCAACAGGTCTCTGGATCTTTAGACACACTATTTATTATATAAAAACCTGTGGTTTCATAATTTATAGTGCAGTTTTTACAGCAGTAATTGAAATGATATACTGTTTAAACGCTCTCTTTCACCCCTTCTGCCCACTCCCTTGCTTGAAATGGTAATGTCTCACACCACTGGAGACCCTCAATATAGTGCTGATCGGAGATAACAAGCTGCCACTGTTCTTGATTTTAAAGAGAAAACTTTTAGGACACTTGAGAGTATTTGCATATTACTTTTATCATGGTAAATGAAGGTATTTAATTTTTATTACTTTTTGTATGTATTTAAATGTACTAGAATATGCATATGTGTATTGGTAAGTGTGGATCCTTGTGGAGTTCATAGGAAGCCACGAATTGTCCTGCTATGGCAACTCCACTTTGTTCCTGTGACGTGGGGTCTCTTACTGAACCTGGAGTTAGGCTGGTGACCAGCAAGTCATAGGTCCTCCTGTCTCTGTCTCCCACAGCACTGAGGGTACAAGCAAGCACTGCTTTTTATGTGGGTGGTGGGATCTAAACCTGGGTGCTCAAGGCTGGGAGAAAGGGGTCTTTAACCCATCTCTCTAGCCCTGTGAATTTACTTTCTATTGCACTGGGGTATATTATGGTATTTGATTTCTAATATGAGTTCACCATTGAATTAGGTGGAAAGTGGTATAAATTCCAGTCATATCATAATGTCTTATGCTAATTTTTTAATACATGTCTAGATTCTGTTACTAATGTGTGGTGGTAGTGGTGATGGTGGTGGTGGTGTGTGTGTTTGCTAGCCTTGAGTTTGAGGTCTCTTGCCTTCATGTTACTTTTTGTTATGTGAATATTTTACCTTTTCCATGTCTCATCCCAGTTAGGACCTCTAAAAGTAGAAGTAACACATGCTCCCTTATAAACACTGCAGTCCCCTTATGAACACTGCGGCCCCCTTATGAACCCTATGGTCCCCTTATGAACATTGTAACCTCTCCCTTGTCTTTCCCTTTCCCTGATCAATTTTTTTTTGCTTCTATTTGTTAATCTTATTTTCATGTTTGTTACTATGTTGAGTGCATATCTGTTTTGTTATATTCACTATTTTCTAGTAAATCCAAGCTTTCGTTTTAAATCCCCTTACTAATATTGCAGGTTCCACTTTGGAGATTGTTGGGCAAATTTTGTTTCAACTGATTTTCTGTTGCGAATTATGTTCTCCGGAAAGTGTTACCACCCGGTCATCTTTCCAAAACAAAAGTAACTCATGGTTTGGTTAGTTCTCTTCAACTTGCAAACGTCTCTTGGTTCTTCTGCTCTAATAGGAAATGGACAACATTTAGAGTTTTCTAGAGAATGGAAGGACAGCTTCTCCCTTCCTCCACCCATCACAAGCTACAGACAGCTGCCTGTCTCGCCTGCAGAGTTCATCTCCCAGTCACAACGAGGAAGTCTTCTGGAGTGGTATGTGCTAGTGCTCTATGTTTAGCAAAACAAATAAAGCTTTATTTAAAAAAAAAGAGGCCTAAAAATTGTTTTCATGGAAATAAGTAAACTGCAGTTGGCATCCCGAACTGTTTTTATTTTGAATGCTGTAGACAAATCCAACATGGGAACGTGGAGGCCTTTTACTCGCTGTTTCCACAAGGGACTCACACATGACCTTTGAAGAGGCCTGGCGGGAAACAACCTCAGGGTTAATTTACTAAGATAGCAAGACTGTTGGCTGCTGAAAGTATTTGTATAGGACGGCACACTGTCGGACTCTCGGAGGCCTCGTGGCTCTACTTTATCTGTAGCTATGGATACCAGTATCTATGTACCTTTATTTTAAGTTCAGGTCTGTTAGACTTAGCAGCTAGTAAAAGCCCAGAGTCAAACTGTTGGGAGAGAGTTTTAAAAATTGGAATCATGTGGCTGAAAGCTGAATCACCTGAGATCTTAATGATGAGCATCACAGAGGAGGCAGAGCACATGACACCAGCTTTCTGGCTTATTGATTGCATAATTGAAAAGAATTAAACATGGGGTTCTGCGTGAACATTTATCCTAAAGACAATGCTTCTCCACCTTGCCCAGACTGGTCTTGAGCTTGTGGACTCATGTGATCCTTATGCTTCAGCATCCTGTGTGGCTGGCTGATGTTTGAAAAGGCCCTTGGCGTTGGGCTGAAGAGATGACCTGTGGTTAAGAGCACTTGCTCTTACCTGGGTTTGGTTCCTGGCATCCACATGGGGGCTCACAGTCATCCACAGCTTCAGTTCTAGGGGATCTGACCTCATCCTCTGAACTCTGCAAGTGGTGCACATACAGACATGTAGGCAAAACACTCATACACGTAAAATAAATGAATCTTTTGTTTATTTGTTTTACCCTTCCCTCCTCTCATTCTCCCCTTCTCTACCCACACCCAGTTTACCCCGCCTCTGTTTCTGTTCAGAAAGGGCCAGGCCTTTCATGGGTATCAACAAAGCATGGTGTATCAAGTTGTAGTAAGACTAAGAACCTCCCCTTGTATTAAGGCTGGACAAGGGAATCCAGGATGAGAAATAGGCTCCCAAGAGTCAGCTGAAGCATTAGAGACAACCCTTGCTCCCATTGGTGGGAATCTCACAAGTAGATCAAGCTACATAACTGTAACATATATGTGAAAGACCTGTGTTGGCACCGGGGAGGCTCCCGGTTGTCAGTTCAGACTCCGTGAGTTCCTAGGAGCCAGGCTAGTTTCTGTTCATTTTCTTGTAATGTCCTTGACTCCTTTGACTCCTATGATTCTTCCTCCCTCTCTTCAGCAGGGTTCCCGAACTTGGCCTAAAGTTTGACTATTGGGTCTCTGTGTCTGTTTCTACCAGCTACTGGATGAAGGCTCTCTGATGATAATTAGGGTAGTCGCTAATCTGATCACAGGAGATGGTCAGTCCAGGCTATGTATCTACTATTGCTAGGGTCATCATCTTAGCTGGGGTCATCCTTATAGATTCATGGGGAGTTTTCCTTTCATCAGGTTTCTACCTGACCCTGATAAGCGCCCCTCACCCCATTTCCAGTTGTCTCTTTCAGTACTCTCCCCTTTCATCCATTTCCCCAATTTGATCCCTCAAGATCCCATCTCCAATATGGCAGTTTCTCAGAAAATTGGGATTTCATTTACCTCAACACCCAGTGATATCATTCTCGGGCATATACCCTAAGGATGCTCAATCATATTACAAGGACACTTGCTCAACTACATTCATAACAGTTTATAATAGCCAGAACCTGGAAACCACCTAGATATCCCTCAACAAAAAATAAAGAAAATGTAATACATTTACAAATTGAAGTATTACTCAGCTGTTAAAAACAGGACATCAGGAAATCTGAAGGCAAATGAATGAAATTAGAAAAAAAATCATCCTGAATGAGGTGACCCAGACCAGGAAAGACAAACATGGTATGTACTCATTCATAAGTGGATATTAGCTGTAACGTTAGGGATAACCATGTTATTTTCTGCAGACCCAGAGAGGCTGGGTAACAAGGAGGGCCCAAGGGCGAGGGGACACATGGATCTTCCTGTATAGATGGAGGCTGCGTGTTGACCTCCTGGTATCCCAGACTCAAATAATCACACAGAAACTATAGTAATTACAGCACTGTTTGGCCAATAGTTTAGGCGTATTTCTAGCTAGCTCTTACATCTTAACCGATTTCTATCCGTGTATCACCACGAGACTGTGGCCTACCAGTAAGGTTCCAGAGTCTTTCTCCTTTGGCAGCTACATGGCGTCTCTTTTATTTTATCTACTTGCCCCCTGCATTTAGTATAGTTTTTCCCACCTAGCTCTATTCTGTCCTGCTATAGGCCAAAGCAGATTCTTTATTAACCAATGGTAATAAAACATAGTCATAGCATACAGAGGGGAATCCAACATCATCCCTGGGAAGGGGTAATAGAAAATAAATAAATCTTAAAAATAGCATAACCAAGTTGTGGTGACTCATGTTTTTAATCCCAGAACTAAGAAGGCAGAGGTAGGTGGATCTCTGTGAGTTCAAGGCCAGCTTGGTCTACAGAGCGAGTTCCAGGATAGTCAGGAATACACAGAGAAACCCTGTATTGAAAATTCAAAAGGAAAAAAATACTTAGAAAAAACATAAGACCTGTAAGTAAAATGTGCAGAATGGTCAAACTTACCTGAGTCAGATTATCTCTGATTGCTTTCTTCTCTAATCAAAATGCCAGGTATAATTAGAAACAATTACTGCCTGCAGACGATGATTTTATATTCAGCAAATCCCTCATTTTTCCTTTTTACACAGTTTGTATTGTGTGACGTATTAAGGCCATAGGAGGTACCTTACTTAGCTTATTTGACTTTTCACAAGCCATGATGCATCTAACGAGGATGGATTTCCAAGTCGAGTTCTTCCTTGTGCTGATAATTATTGACTAATGTGGGAAAGAGTGGTGATTTGTCCATTGCATTTCAGTAAGCCATTAATTGTGTGAAAACGATACCTTAAAGAAGCATCCATCTTCCTAGTAACCAGAGGACTTCCACTAGCACCTCTTTACAAGTGGGAGAACAGAATAATTGCCTGAATTCAGCAGCAAATAATTTGGAATAAGTGTCTGATTATTAGATTTTAAAGTGGAAAAATTTGTCCGCATCTTCAACTTGAGCAGAAAAACTGAGGTAGGAGAACTGTATACCAGCCAGCCCCTTGCTTTAGCTCTGTTCTCTGCTGTCTGGGGGTAGCTAGGCTTGCTCCCTTTCATTGGATAAGTTTTTGTTTTAGTCCTCTGAGAAAAATCGATGTTTTAGTCTCTAAACCAAGC